TTTTTTTTTCTCAAAACTCATAATAGTTTTTGGTCTTTTGAACAAGAACTATCACTTAAAAGTTGAAATTCGTGCGTTACATTCTTATCTTACTTTGTACGGTTAACAGTCATTACTAAAACCGACTCTTTTCATCATCGTCTGATAACAATGGTACTGAGATAATCATTAACTTTTGGAGAAGTGTATCCGAAAGAAATGACCTAAGCTGCCCAACAAAAGTGTTGTAAGAACCAGCTTGCAATTCTTAGAGAGCAGTTTGAATGCCGTTCACCTTGGCTGGGTATGTGCCGCTGGTCTCCCAGAGACCCCGTGTTCATTATCGTCCATTCTGTGGCCAGTTATATATAGACCCCATCTTAGTCACATTTTTGCAAATGTAAACTTTGCGATCTCAACTTAATAATTTTCTGTTAATTGTTTATGAATCTACCTTAGTAATTGACAGATTCGTCATACGTAGAAGATCACACTCTTCACCTTCAAACGCTCTGGTACATTTTCTATCGGAAAATATTCAAAACATTTCCTCGATTTCCAACGAGGTGGTCGTGTTGAAATGTGCGACCCAGTTTTAGCTCGTCTGTTGGGACCCCATTATAGTCATTCCAGTGATGTAAGTGCTATCTAGGCCAGCGGCACATCCCCAGTACCTTATTGATAGAAAGTAATCCCCTCCCCTGGGGGGTGGCTTGGAAAAATCATATCACATTATATTACATCAGATTACATCAAATTACCTACCATCACACCACAATGCATCCCATCATATCGCATTTACCTTTCCTTTAAGAGATTTTGTAGGTGGGTGTTGTTTTTCTGTAAAATTTCTGTGTTGTTTTTCAACTGTTCTTCGTAGTGTTTTAGATATTTATATTTGCCTCTGGAATCTCTAAGAATTCACGAGGAGTGATAACAATTAAATTGTGACTAATTTTAGCACAGGAGGCATTCAAATGTTAGATTTTAATGTTAAGTTTATAACTTTACAGTTCTCTTCGTATATATATAACGTCTCAATTATTGCACCCGCAAACAGCAGGTGTGCTGGGGGGAAGAGATGTTCTAAACTTTCTGAACTTTTTCCCCTGAACTGCAATAGGATGACTAATATGAACTACGATTCACAACCAACACCAACATCAGGTTATGCATACACATGTATATTTTGTTGTCTTAAGTAACAATAAAAAAATTAAAAAAAAATTAAAACCCTCTATAAAGTTCATATTCAATAACACTGCGACGTGTAGCGCTAGTACTGGAAATCAATTTAGGTGAAACTGTTGAAACAGCTCTGTCAGAATTGTTTCTAGTAGTTAAGGCAGGATAACAGAATATACATGTAGTACACAGCAAAGGCCAGAGATACACGCATGTTAGTTATCAGTTAGGATTTGGTGCTCTTGTGCTAGGTACAGTGGAAAATAATGAGCTATCAAAAATGAAGGTTCCTGAGACAATTTGACAGGGCTGAGAGAAAGTAATATATTTACAAAAGAAGGAAAAGTTCTTGGCCTGTCCATTTCTCTGTCATAACAATATCATTTACATACATTTATTATATAATTGGCTTGTGTTTTAAGCCGATATAATGCACACTCTGATTCGCTAATCCTAGTGCAGGGATTGGGAAGGCCATGCGCCATGTGCATATGGCGAATAGAGCTACGAAATGACGCATTATGAAAGTACTTACCGGGCTTGCGATGCCCCCTAGCTACGAAACAGCTATAAAATATACACTATTTTGTGGAAAATATTTTCAGTTGTGAAATTTTCAGTGTAATGACAAATAAAATACGCAAGAAGATTTTTTTATGGCCCATTTATCTACCCTAATGGTTCAAACTTTTCTTATAAACGGCCCATAACTCTCCAATGCCACGGGGCATAGGCTCATTTGCCTGTTTCGCCTTCCCAATCCCTGCTCGTGCATTATTTACATTAACATGGTATACATTGGAAAATCGTAAAACACCACGTGTGACTAAAATAAAAAGTAAAACGTAATGCCTAATTCATAATAATTTAAAAATTCTTAATAGTAAATGCCTATAAAAATGGACCTAAATCGCCTATTAATGGCACAAGTCAAAAAAATGATTTCGCTTGTATTTTGTCCATAGATAGGTCCTAGTAAGAATAGAAACGGACCGTAGTTAGTTTCTGCTAATACAGCTTTCTTTGGTAGAAATACGCCAAAAACGATTTCGACCCGATTGGGCTCAAAATCTACTTCCGGTTTTGCTGAATTTTCCAAATATTTCATTCCTTCGCGCTCCGCAGAACAGCTACTTGAGAATCTTTCAATGGATTTTATATTCAGTTTAGGTCTTCGTGGTATGACTGAGCGAAAAATAAAATAAATCAAAGTTGGTTTTGAGCCCGAAAAGAGATCAAACTGACACGCAAAATTTTACAGTGTGT